TAGACAGATCCTTGTGCATCAGAGGCCAGCTGGAGCTACATAATGAGGCCCTGTCTCAAAACAAAGCAGGCCTTTGAAAGTTTTCACCAAAGAAGTGAAACTGAATAGTAATGCATGATTTTTATACTTTTATGTATCAGTTAAAATAGATTTAGCTGGGTGTTGGGGCATGTGCCAGTAGTCCTGACCCTTGAAGGTTGAAGCAGAGGATTGCCTAGGCTCAGGAGCTCAAGACCAACTCAGGTAACATAGTCCTATCCAATCTCCGAATAAAAGATGGAGGCTACTGGTGAGTTGTAGAGTCCTTGCCTAGCATGTGCTGAAACCGTAGTACTTTAAAATGTAAGATAGCTTTTGTTTTTATTCTGTTTAAGCAGCGTTTTGCCATGTAGCCCCCACTAGCCTAGTACTTGCTATATAGACCAGTCTGGCCTGAAACTTGCAGTGATCCTCCTGCCTCACACATCTCCCAGCACCACACTCGGGTTTTTGTTTGTTTTTATTTCTTTTGAGATAAGGTCTCATATAGGCCAGGGTGGCATCCAGTGTGAATCCAGTATGTGACCTTTAGTGAACTTGAACACCTGATCCTTCCGCCTCTACCTCCCAAGCGCTGGGATTGCAGGCTTGCACCACCATTCCCTGCCTAGTACTGTGAACAATATATTACTACTGTAAAAGTGAATCAGCCAGGCACAGTTGGGTATACTTATAATTCTAGTACTTGGGAATTGTGTGTGAGGCAAGAGGATCAGAAATTCAAGGTTCTCCTCAATACATAGGCTATTTGAAGATATCCAGGGTTACATAAAATTACCTTTAAAAAAGCAACAAAGCTGGGCTCTGGTGGTGCACGACTATAATCCCAGCACTTGGCAGGCAGAGGCAGGCAGATCTCTGTGAGTTCAGGGCCAGCCTGATCTACAGAGTGAGTTTCAGGAAGTCCAGGACTATTACACACAGAAACCCTGTCATGAAAAGCCAATTAAATAAACAAATCAATAAATAAGCAACAATAAGTGTACTAGTACATGCCTTTCATCACAGCATTTGGAAGCAGAGGCAGGCAAAACTCTTGAGTTTGAGGCTAGCCTGGTCTACATAGTGAGTTCAAGGACAGCCAGAGCCACATGATAGAGAAACCCTGTCTCAAAAACTAAAATAATAATAATAATAATAATAATAGCCAGAAATTTTTATATAAATTGTCTTTAATTCTAATTGTTTTTTTTCCATTGTACTTAACCCCATTGAATTTTATCTTAGTGTAACATGCATGATTTTGTGCTTTAACAATCTATGCATTGAATTCTTTTTTTCCCCAGATTTATATGTGGAAGTCATAATTCCCACTGGATGTTGGGATATAAGACCCTTAGGACATAATTAGGTTTAAATGAGAGGTCTGTGAGTGTGTGTGTGGGGATGTCTTGTGTCCAGATTGGTGCCCTTGGACAAAGAGAGCTTTGTGGGCATCCTTATGTGGGGACATAGGGATAAGAAGACTGTGCACAGTCAGGAAGAGCACATTTACCTGATACTGGTTGTGTGTGTGCCTCTGTCCTGGACCTCTAGCCTCTACAACTATGAGGAAATAACTGTCTATAATATTTGGTTATGGCAACTAGAGTGAGGACAATTTTTCCTGATCACTTCTCCCATTTCTTTTTTAGCAAAAACTGAATTTAAAACGATTTTTTAGAACATCATGGTAACATACACCTGTAATCTCAGCACTTGGGATATGGACACAAAGGATCAGGAGTCCACGGTCATCATCATCTTCTGCACGGTGAGTTCAATACTAACCTGGAGTATATTAGACCTCCTGAAATAAGAGTCCTTTAGAACATATTAGCAAGCCAAGTTTTAACTATTAGACATTTTTTCTTCCTCATGGGAGTGGACCAGTACTACTTTTGGTTAGAATATGACAGAGTTCAGCACCAATTCTATTTCTTGTTTTTTGGTGTGTGTGCGTGCGTGTGTGCGTGCGTGCGTGCGTGCGTGCGTGCGTGTGTGTGTGTGTGTGTGTGTGTGTGTGCACTGGATTTCTTGAATCTAAAGCAGGAATGAGCTCCCCCATGTGGGTGTAGAGATCTGAACTCTGGTCCTCTGAGAAACCAGTAAGTGTTCAGTCCTATGGTTAAAAAAGTCCTGTCAAGTGAGATTTGCATTGTTTTTTACAAACTGACTTGACTTTCAATTCAAATGAAAGCATATTAATATACTCTTTGTGAACAACTATCATTATCACATTTATGAAGTCTATTTTTATTACACTTTACTTATTTTTAAATTAATTTGAAAAATTATATATTATTTATTTTATGTGTGTGGGTTTTTGGCCTGTGGGGGTCAGAAGAGGATGTGGGGTCCCCTGGAAATGGAGTTACAGAAAGTTACTAGCTGCCATGTGGGTGCTGGGAATCAAACCCGAGTCCTATGGAAGAGCAGGCAGTTCTCTTAACATCTGAGCCATCTTTCCAGCTCCAAGATTAATTTTTTAATGGATATTTTTCAAAGTTTCACTGTGTAACCCTAGCTAGCCTGGAACTTGCTGTGAAGACCAGGCTGGCCTCACACTCACAGAGATCCACCTTCCTCTGCCTCCCTAGTGCTGTGATTAAAGGCGTGCACCACCGTCCCCAGTCTTTCAGATTTGTATTTGTTTGTGTGTGTATGAGTGCATCCACAGAAGACAAAAACCGCTGTCAGATCCCTTGGAGCTGCAGGTACAGGAGGTTGTGAGCCCCTTGACATGGATATTGGGAACCAAACTCTGGTTCACTGAAAGAGTAGCAAGCACACTTAACTGCTTAGCCATTTCTCTAGCACACTTTCCCTCTCTCTCTTCTTCCCCTCCATGCCTCCCTGCCACCCTCCCTGCCTCCCTCCCTCCCCCTCCCTCCCTCTCTTTCTTTTTCTCATGTGTGTACAGTGCCGTATCTTATGGAGGTCAGAGGACAGATGTGTTCTTCAAATGTGTGGGTCCCGGGGATGGAATTCAGATTGTCAAGTTTGGTGGCAGGCACCTTTATGGCAGGCACCAGCTCTGGTTTCTGAATTCTGAGAAAGAGGTGGTATAGTCTTGCCATGAAATTGTTGCCTGGAATAAGGCTCTGTCATCATCTGTATTTCTTACTCAAACTCTCTTTACTTTCTCTTTTTTTGGTGGGACTTCCTCTCAGGAACAGAAAACGACACAGACTATGGATGTGACATCAGTACTATTCCTTCATTATCCCTTTGCTATGTTATTGTGAAACATTTTAAACAAATGGAGATGTTGACAGGCTGGCCTTGAACTCTTGAGCCTCCTGCCTCATGTTTGCCATTGCTGGGATTAAGGACATTGGCCACTAGGCCTGACAGCATGCACACATTTAACATCAATATATTGATTTGCTCCTTTGTTTGGTTTGTCAGAGGCTTTCTGTCTGATTCAAGTGTGATTTAAGGGTTTAACATGGTGCGACTTGGGAAGGAGTGCAGGTAAACTTGTGAAAAGACGGTTGGGAAATGTAACCGAGAATGAGGGTACCACACAGGCACTCTTGTCTTTCACTTTAGGCATGAACAAACATGAAAATCGGGAGTTGGGGCTGGGAATATAGCTCAGTTGATAGAGCACTTGCTTAGCATACAGTGTGCTTTGCTAGTACTTTATAAAACCATGGACAGCAACACCTGCCTGTTAAAGTCATTCTCATCGATGTAGCTAGTTCAAGGTCAGCCCGTGCTACATGAAACTGTCTTCAAACAAACAAACAAACAAAAACCCCACCAGAGTAGACATGGAAATTGAGGATGTGGAAATAAAATCCATCTTTGTTATCTATATTTGCTTTGGTTTGTTGGTTTGTTTGCTTGCTTGCTTTTGTTGTCATTTGAAACAGGGCCTCATATCCCAGGCTGCACTTTAACTCCATATATATATATATTGATTTATATATATATATATATA